TTGTCCCTCTGCTCAGTTTGCCTTAGGCTCAGCAATCCTTGCACCTTCAGGAAAATACTCAGAAATGTATTTTCCTGCTTCTTTTTCCAGGGCCTGGGTGGCATGATCTCTTAATGCATCTGCCTGTTTACGTTAGCAAAATGGAAAGCAGCTTTGTTTATGGAAAAGATCTATTTTTGTTTTACTTTTTTTCTCTCAGCTAAACTGACTTTTATCCAGGATCGTGTTTTGCTTTGGGAAAAGAAATGTGCTGCAGTTCTTAGCCCTAGCTTAAAAAAGCCAGGTCAAGAGGAAAAGGGGAAATCCTGATCATATTATTTAATTTTGTAGGATTACACTGCAGCCTGGAAATCTCAAAGAGGGGAAGAGTTAATATCCCCTTCTTCTCTGCAACTTCTTCCTCTGTGTGCCCGTGCAATGACATTTGCTATTCTCTCACATATATTTACACAAGCCAGGTCAGGAACAAAATCAGTACTTCCATCATATGAGCAGGGGGACAGTGTGGCATCCAGGGGAGAAGGAAATTTCAGAGGCCATCATGCTCCCCTGAGGATAAACCATGTCACTGTGTGTCTTTCAAGTTCTTGGGACTTTGATCTTGCAAGAGATGGAAAAGGGTCAGGCCATGGGTGGTGGATTTTGAGTGAAAACCAAGACAGGGCATTGTGGAGATGATGTGGTGAGGGGGGAGCACAGCATGCAACGTTCTCCCTCTGCAGAGATTCCAGGGAATCTGAAAAGCAGAGGTGTTCCTGCATAAGGGTTGGACTCCATGATCCTTGTGGGTCCCTTCCAACTCAGCAGATTCTGTGATTCTGCTTTACTGCCAGAACATGAAGGGTCCTGCTCTTGACTTGGAAGTCAAACAAAGGTCTGGCCAGTCCCTGTCATGCCACACTGCTGGGCAGGTTTGGGCAAAAGCTGATACTTAAAGCTTGGGTTCTATTTTTAGCTGTGCTGCTGATTCACAATGTGGATTTTGTCAGTTCTCTGCACCTTCCTCGAAGAGATGGAGACCACACCTGCCCATGTTGCAGAACTGCTCTGCCCTCTTGGAACGTCTGGTACAGAGTTAGGGGTTGTTTGAGTTATGGCCAGCACTTCATGACATTTAACAATTCATGGTGAAACCCATAAGTAACCCTATAATATATCCTTAAAGCTCTGTGGCATAGGGAATGTGTTATCCCTGTTTCAGTTATGAAGATTTAAGTGTGTGTCTTTGTGTGTTATGGGAAACAGTGGCAGCATTGCCTGCTATGGAGGTTGTCTGACTTTCCACAATATTTGTATACATGTGTGTGAGTTTGTACAACGTGACTGCACTAAAAACCACTGTGTTAATGCAAAGTTACCTTGATTCCAGTGTGAGGTGCTTGAAAATTATGGAAATTACAGACTTGGGGTGGATCATGCAGCCTCAGCTCAGCCCCACAGTGAGTGTGGCTCTGTGACACAGTCATTTAGCACATAACCACACAGTTTTCATTCCACGTTTTCCCTCTTTCCATTTTCAAATCACAGCACTGGTTGCACCCTTCAGACTAATATCCATGGGAATCTTTAAATACAAGCTGTTTAAGTGACCTAAATGTAAGAGTCTGCTGCTACTACCCAGCAATAACACGATAGGATAGCCAGGGTATGCACTATCAGAAAGGATAATGAACAATTATAATAACCCTTAATAAGTCATAAGAAATCATAAGAAATAATAAAGTAGGTAATGAGGTGCCAGTTTTCACAGTTAGCTGTGAAATGTTTCTCGTGTTGACTTGAGAAAAACCATATAAGGGGATGAAAATGGCCACTTCTGTTGATTTACTCTCACTTCCGACATTTCTTCCTAACATCAAATTTGTGAGCTGGAACAACGGAGCTTAACCATGTTCTGATACATGTTTGGTGCAGAGAAATCTTTTGAAAGATGCAGAATCGATTGAAGAACAAGGAACAATAAGAGATCAGCTGGTTTCTGGCTGATTTCCCATCTGACATTGTAAAAGCATCCAGGACTATTTGTTTAATTGGAAATAGAATAGTGAGCCACGGAACCATCCTGGAACCCCTCCTAGCACATATGTACATACACAGACCCCAGCCACTCGCTCCCTACCCACAGCCATCTGTCATGTGTGCCAACTGGAGCAAACCACCCGTATTACTCAACCAGGAGCTCATTATAGCTTCCTCTTCATCCACAGGGCCTTTGGAAAAGCTCACAGTCTGGGGGGACGTGCAGCAGGGAGGGCATTCTGGACTGGGGTGCAGCTCTTTTCCATTGCTCCGTGCCCACATCAAAGTGTACCCAGTTCAGGAATAGCCATTATTGTTGTCGCTCGGGAGAACGTCCCTTCTTCCTGGAACAAAGGCCAGCTGTGGGATCAACCTAAAAATGACTGGTAGTCAGCCCATGCTGACCTTCTCCTGACTGTTTCAGGAGTTTATTTCATTTTCTTTATCTGTAAGTCTGTTTCAAATCATCCATTTAATTTAAATTTTTCCCAGTTTCACATCACCACAAGGGAAGTGCTTATTGGAGCAGATTTTCAAGAGATGTCACAGCTTTGTTCCACCATCACAAACATCATCCCCTGTGATTTCACTGCTGATCAGCCCATATTTGTTATTTCAATTGAGTTTCTTACCCTTGAAACTGTTTGGGACAGAAATTATTTTATTGCATCGGATTATTCAGTGTCCAGCACAGCAAGGCCCTGATCACAACTACTGCAATATATTAAACAGAAAATGGCAAAACTACAGAGGAAAACTCCGGCACACAAACAAATCCTTTTTCTTAACTTCTACCTGAACCAGATGCTGGTGGTATATGTAACGTGTGGGGCTTTGCTGATTTACACCCTTGTAAAAATCAGTATTCAAAGCTCCTTTTCATGTGCAGCTTCCATCTAAGTAAAGGGGATACTGCATATCAAAGGCAGCTGCACCAGCCACTTTAGATTTATTAGTAAATCCACTGAAAAAACATTTCCAATGAAATAAATCTCAGCCTGCTGACTTCCTCCTATTCTTTACTTATCCTCTTATTGATTTTTGTCTCGGAGATTTAAACCTCTCAATTTGTTTTATGAGACACTTGTCGAACAGATGACAAGAAAAAAGACAGTGCTGGATATTTTCCTTAGCAGTTTTAAGTAGAAATAAAGAGCATTTCTTTGAAATTAGTCTTGCTCTTGTGACACAGTAGGAAGAATGTATCTGACAAGCCCTTTAGAAGGCATTAGCTCCGTGCATAGACGAAGCTTACGGGCTGCCACCAGCACAGCTTTGTGGCAGCAGTGCCCCAGAAGCTCATTGACAAGTTTGACATGTAAACAAGCTGTTGCTAAAAATATTTAACCTGGGGGACCCTGGCTAGTTGGAGGGGCTAGTAATGGAATACAGATCCTTTCACCTCCAGGCATCTGTTCAAAGCTACGCCATTGACTGAAAGTCATTATCGTCTGATGGCTGCGCAGAGGAATGAGTAGGTGGGCTCTGCTCTGTGTCTTGTGAGTGAATTGTTGCACTGCTAAACCACGCTGGGAATTGGAACAGAAAGCTGGAGGCTGGCACCTTCTGGGGGCTGGGGCAGCTCCTCCCAGGAAGAAAGTGTCCTTGGCTTATTCCCCACAGCTCCCTCCCAGGGACATGTCACCTGGCAGACACCTGTG